TCAAGATATTACAACATGCTTCAAATAAATAAAGAGTAATTTAATGATTTATTACTGAAAATACCAACAAATTTAATTATGTTACAAAAAAAGGTTAGTTACAATTTTTTAAAATAAAAAACGTCGTTCATCTTTTGTTTATAAATTCAAATAGATTGTTCTAATACACTAATTAGGAGTTTCATTCAATTAATAGCTAAAATTTAAATATTCATAAAATATAGGCATTTAGTTTAGTGTTACAATCCTTCTTATCAGCAATTCAGCATTGTTATTCACTCTACATGTTAATTTTCAAGTTCTTGTGTTCTGCACACGCATAACGTGACTGATTTGCGTACCTACACGCAGTCTTATGTGAGATTTGACGAAATTATTGTAATTGTCGTAACTGTATTAATCAGATTAAAAAATATAATTTGACTTCTTTGGACGTCTCCGTTTTAAATTATACAAACATTCTCGTAATCAAGCCGGTTAATTAACCTTAATTAATGAGAGTTGGTTATCATTGCTGATCAATTAAAAGTATTCGTCAAATGATTAATAAAACCAGGAACTTATTTTTGTTTGTGTTTTTATATAATAAAATCATTTTTTGTTAAAATTAGTCAGTCCACGCGGGATAATAAACAATGATTACTTGTACGTTCCGAACTATTCCAAATATAATATGATACAAATATCCAGTTCCAGCAAAGGCGTACATAATTCATAATTATTGCATGTCACATGCCGTGAAAAAAATAGATAAAAAATTCTTGCGTTTTATTTCTGTTGTGAGATCTTTCTAATCGTTCCGGCTTCAGTTCTATTTGTACCGCGGCGCCGCGCGACTGTGCGTTCGGTCGATTCGATTTTCCGAGACCGCGGAACTCTATGGTTTCTGTGTTATTATTTTTAAAAAGTGCTAGTGTTCGTGATTATATTTAATCTGTGGTTGGAATTTTGAATGGTTTATTTTTTAAATCATGGAATCGTTTTCGGCCGGATGTGATCGCTTGAAAACCGTCATGCTTTATTTGTTTGATCTGTTACACTATTAGAACTAACTGCATGACTTGTTCCGATGGAATTAAAAAATATATGACCGCGTTTTATCCTATTCGAAATAAAATACGAAACTGATAGAGCTCTACTAATTAATACATTAAGTTTACGAAACAGTAAAAATATGGATCGTGTCACTTATTAAATTAAGAACATTTAGCCGAATTATGTAATTAAGTATGTAACAATACTTTCTTCGAAATCAATAAGAGTACGTATTCGATTGCACAAAGCTGTAAAAACATTGATGAGTGCTATGATTGCAACTGTGAATTTGCATAACAACTTTGCGTCGCCTTGAGGTGTATTTGCAGAAAATGCGGTCTTCACACGTCAATTTGCAATGTTTGGCAAGCAAGTTACATGTACAGTTGACCATCTAGCTTAGACTTTATTGTGGACAATCAATCTTTACTTAAAAGTTAGCCGCCGGTTATGAAGAGGAAAATCTAACGCTCAATCTAGACAGAAAAACTAATGTTTATTCTACCATTTGGCAAATATTTAACGACGATAGTCTGATGATGGCTTTCGACTCGAGAATGAGTCTTAAGCCATGTTTCCACCAAGGCTGAGCGGAGCGGAAAAGTGTCGGGCTGTCAAATTTTTCTATAGAATTTGACAGAGGAGCTGCGCAGAGCGGAGAAGTGAAGTGGAGTTAATGAAATCTGATTGGTTAATCAAAACACTCTCTGCTCCGCTCCGCTTTGGTTGAAACCGAGGCTTAAAATTAAAATTATTCAAAACTTATGACTCTACATTTTACTTAAATATGTAGTTATTTGAACGCTTGAGTACTTCAGATATTTTTCAAAACCAGCTTTTAACCTTTCAGCGTTTTTCTAACAAGTACCTACATTGACGCAACGTGAGTGCTTAGCATTCGGCGCACGCGTCAGACCATAACGCCTGCATTTCCGCCGAAGCCAGGTTAGGCCATCGACAAATTAGTCCACTTAGATAATAGCTTATGAATATACATCGCTGTGATTCGGCTAAATATGTCCGCAGATCCTCCATTCAACTGGACGATAAACCTTAAAAAAGGAATAAATTATTTACTGCTTTAATTAAGCTGGATTAATAAAATTGAGGTCTTTGAATCTCAGATAGGTACTAGCTAACATTAAAGTGGATTGAATATTTTCAAAATTGAAACGTTTTGCGTCCAAGGATTCTATGGATACGAGATGCTTAAGTTTGGAAGCATCATTCATAAATCTTAATAAATTATGGCGTATTGTTATGAATATTTAGAATAGAACAGTCTATATTCTAGTCACAGGGAATATCATGCATGACGTATGAACAAACTTTATCAGAGAAACAATAATAAGAAGAAATCTGTAAGAAATGCAAGTATTCATTAGATACGCTCTGCTCATAGGTGCACTCACGCAATCTATGCTATGATGCTCGTACCTATTACGTTTCCAATTCTTACAAACATGAGATGTTTTATTACAATTGCAGGACTTACACGTAATTTAAAATGGGTTTTACTATCAATTGTCGAAACTAACATGTCAAGAAATGACCGCATAAAACACTTCACAAGAATTTCTTGGCTGATTTCTTTTCTAATCAACGAAATAAATAATAAAATTTTCATTTATACTTGCCTACCTTTTGTTCTCTACGTTTCTATAATAAATTATATTTATTTCTAATCGAAGTTAATAAATTCATCAGTATCTTTTATGGGGCGTAACAATTAACATCTGGTGACGACCGCGAGTGGTGGACTGTGTTTGGTCAGTGGCGCGCGAAGGCCAAGGTCTCATCTGCAAACCTGCCTCCACCAGATCGCAATCAATGCAACCAGACGCAAACTTAGCCTCGGATCAATCACACCGTGCACTCAATAGAATACATACGCTCTATCATAGAGCAGAATAAGCTTCGCAAACATTTTCTTTCTCAATTTTGTGCGTGGCCAGCGTGACGTAATCGAAACAAGAAAGCGCTTTTAGGACTTTCATTTGTTTTTTAAGCAGTGTTCTAAAAGACAATGGGTAATGTGTACTTAACAAACCTTCGTTTCACGACTTTATGCGTGTAAAGTTTGTGAAATCGATGAGTTAGCACAATGTGTGGTGTGACGTCAGTGACCTGTGGACGATGGAGGTGATTCAATGGCAGTGACGATGGAAGAGCCAGATGTGTCCGAGAAGCCTGTGCCTCCGCCCAGGTTCAAGAAGCTAGCTCGGCTGGCAGCTGCTAAGGAACGCCGGTCGGTGACATGGGTACGACGTTACATCTTGCGATTGTTGATTCGTTGTGCTATTACAAAATTTCAACGGTTTTTAGTCATGCAGAACATTTTGGTGGAAGACGTTTGATCTTTATACAATCAGTACAAACCGTTGAGTCTTTGTTTATATGATGAATACTTCAGGATTAATTTACCTCGTCTAAACGAGCGTCGTGATTTTATCTTATTTGTAGGCGTAAGGTATTGTGCCTTTTATTCGTTGATCCCAAAAGCCTGGATGTATTGACATCGCTTTCAGATTCGCACTGATAAAGGCTCGTACGCTTTGACATGAACTGAATCTCGATGACATGACAGGCAGATAAAGGACTGACGGACAAACAAAACGTTCGCAGACATTGTACGGCAGCCAGTGAATAGGCCGAGCTGCGTAAATACCGCGTGGGAACACTTCGTTCCTACTTAGATACGAACGTGTCTGTAGAAAAACATATAAATTCGCTAAACCTTACTAACAATGCGAATATTTCGCACATTGTCATACAGTTAGGTTTTGTGATTTCATATTATGGCGTTTCCCGTTAGGTTTGCGCGCAATCAGCGGTGTATCAACGTTTTAATTGCTCTGAAAGTGCGACTTTCATCTGCAACTGTCGTGGAATTACTGTTTTGTTCTCTCTTGAAAGAGAGAGAAAGTTCCTGAAGAGGTGGCGATATACATTTATTTGACACTATTAGAATTATTTAAAGTCTGAGATCAGGCAGTCGTTTTTTTTTTTCAAGTAAAAATCATGATTTTAGAGATACCTTTAAGTAACATTATAAATGCAAAATCCTTGTAACATAAACCCTTGGTTTTATTATTGCTGCACTTTAATATGAGAAACTACACTCAACATCTAATAAACCGCACCTTCCGCGACGCGAACTTTAAAGATTTTCTTCTGACACAATCATGGTACCCCAACAATATTGGTGTTATTTGAAAGCCCAATAAATATCCTTAAAGAAAAATACATTTCATTTCTAAATAAATAATTAACATATACCATAAATGTGACTTAAAAATAGACCTAACTTTGGGCTCACCTCTGGGATCAATAAGACCAATTTTTATGGTTATAAAACCAAATTAAGATCTCACGTGTCCTCTTTAACAGATGGATAGCGATTAATCCCAACATAACAGTTTTATAGTCATAAAAAATGGCTATAGCGTAACTACCTATTTTTTGAAGAAGTGACTCTGGATCCTTGTAAAGACACATTTTTGGGGTAAAAACCTTTCCTTTAATGAAATGAAGTTTAGAACTAGGCTTTTAAATGGTACCAATGTTGGTGGGAAGTGGGGATGCATACGTTTGATAAGTGCCTGTCGCGGGAGGTGCGATTTATTTGATGCCGAGTGTAGTTTAGTTACATACCTTTATATTTCCTTTGCATTCAGTTTAGTTAATGTTGTGAGACATATCGCTTGAGGAGAAGTTGAATAATTTCATGACAGAATTTATAAAACTTTATGAGTTTTTTTTATAACTCATTTAATTTTTGCAAGTAGACTTTTAAAAAGCACTTTTACTACATAAACTTGATCATTAAGTTTTAACTAACCTAAGTGCCTATGAAAAACGAAAGAATTTCCCCTTAGGGTAAAAAGACTAACCCTGCCTCCCGCCTTTGCATTATAACAGGCTAAATTAAGTCAAATATTAACGAATTGTCTCCTCTATTCCAGGGTCCTGAGACATGGGTCGGCGTCCGGGCTCTCCGCGCGAGCTCCGGTGGCATCTTGGACCCGGACGACCGCGTCCGGGATGTGGCGGACGACCGGGAGACGCTGACGGCGGAGTGCACCGGACAGACGCCGCAGCCGCGCGCAGCGCAAGCAGATGGCGCTAGTGGCTCGTCGGCTGGCACCGCCTCTCCTGACATGTTTAGGGTACGTTTAGAAACATTAGTTATCCTTGTTCTTGAACATTTAAGGCCCACTTTGTTGGGTAAGAATAAACTATCTTTTTCCCGCGACTTAGCTCACGTGAAATTCAGCAGAAAAACGGACTTACGTGACTCATAAGTAATTTATAACTCAATTCTACATGATAACTAATTAACATATTATGTAATTATTATTCAATACTACTGTAACATTTCTATAAAATACGTTCATTAATTTTTCGTGAAAGAGTCTTAACAAAAATGTTATCTGTCATAATACCTACATCCAATTTTATTCATTTTAAACAATGAAATAAATAACTAAACAAAAAAAAATATTTAAAAACATTAAAATCTTGGCCAAAACGAAGCCCGCCCTGAATGAGGCTGTGTCGGTTTATGTCTTTGCCAGCGAAAAAAAAATTACGCGGGAAACGGCAGAGCGGCGCATCGAGATAGGCGCAGTCAGTTTTTGTTTTGATTCAGTAGATTTTTTTTATAAATTATAATATTTAAATGAGCCCTATTAAAGTTTTTAACGATAAATTATGAGATAATAAATTGAAATAATATTCTAAAGAGAATTGTAATTCCTCAAAAAAAAATTTGCAAACTTTATTATGAGGCTGTATAATTTTTGATATCATTGCCTGGAAAAGGTAAAATTAAAAATAATTTTACGCGGGAGTTTTTCTTGAGAAAAATTCGTGTCAGGACTTGTTTTTCTTCAGTGTGTTTTCTTTAATCCTGGAGAAAACTTGTAATTTCAAATGGATACAACTCAAAACTTGTTTAGCGATGTAAATGACGGGAGGAGTGTGTCACCAATTAATTGCAATTGTGTTTTCAAAATGGGCTCGTGTTTTTCAAGATGTTCTTGCGTTAAAAAGCCGAATAAGGTCAGTTCATGTAACTCTTTTTATTTGCGAACATTCTGTTTTGTGAAGTTATAAGTAGATATTATGTACTAAGTAGGTAAACATACCTATTATGTACTTAAGTACATTACAGTCTTTAAAACTTTTTAAAAATAAAATTGTAGTAGTTATTCAGTTGTAATGAACAAAAGGTTTGTATTAGCATAGTACCTAAGTAGTTAGTAAGACCTAATGATTTGTGCGCCAATAACTTTGTTGTAGTAAGTTTGTTCTAAGAAAGTACTGTACTGTTGTAGTAAGTATGCTAAATTGCTATTAGAATATAAAATTAGTATTAAAGTGTTTAAGTACCTATTATCCAGATTTAAACTGAAACTTTATTAACCTACTTTACCACTTGTTAAAAAATAATCAAATCAATTTTGATGTACCCAAAGATGTGCCTGTAAACGTTGTTCAATCATGTCTACATCAAGCAAATAATTAGTAGAAAATAATGTACGAATTATTCATTAGCCTATTTCAAACACTCGCAATACTATCAACTTAGGTGCACCAAAGTTTATAAATGTGCGTAAATGAGTCACAAATCACACATGGCGGCTGCGCCCAAGTCGCTCGATCGAATGCGGCTAGGTATTACTAGATAACGAGCTGAAACTAGGCTAACAGGATTACAGACCTCGCACTCACTCGACCGTGCCATAATGGAGTGTAGGTGTACAGTAAGCCACTGTCTCCTCAATGTGTACACAGCGAGCGATCGAATACTGTAGGTGAAAATGAGAGGAGGCAAGACTATGATTAACTGCATTAAATCAATTTTGATATCACTATCGAAAAACGAAAACAATGTCTTTTTTTGTAGCTTTTCGTCGCCTCAAAGCCTTCATTGAAGTAGATAAGCTCGTAAGTTGATAAGATACTTCCTGAGATAGTGTGTGACAGACAAAGACCAAAGCGTATCTACCTATTTGCACCTTTTTTACTCAACCTGAGAGAGCCTTCGGTATCAACTTGCAGTAGGCACTGCCACGCCGCTGTAACTGCGACATAGTTCCAGCAGACTTTTTTCATATTGTCAATATTTTTTCCTTACTTCCTCTCAGCATAAAGGTTACTACAATTCTCAATAGTTATTGGATTTAACAAACACGTCATTCACTCCATTCTTACGTTTTTGTATCGTGCGCTAGATCACGTAGAAACAGTGCGTGTTAATATACTGCGGAAATAATCTAATATTATTGAGTGAGTTTGGTGTAATGTGATATTGGTATAGTCACGGTCTAGCAACAAGTTCTGTTCCGATTGACGAAGTACGATGTCCTACTCAGAAGACAACATTTTTGTCTGCTCACATAAGCGAGTCAATTTTTTGTTTGTAGAACTTGAATTCTTTTTGAAGAACTTTACGGACGTTGACTTTGTGAAGTGTCTCAAATCAGCTGCATAATTTTATATTATTTTAGTCACAGGTACACAGGGTAGGCTGGTTTTAGAATCACGCTGACGCACGCTTGACCGTCAGCGCTGATAGCCGAAATGTATGGAGCGTCGGCGCCGAGCGATCAGCGTCACTCAGAAACGTTCCCTTCAATTACATACATTTTGATTTGTCAGCGCCGACTATCAGCCAGCGGTCAGCGCGATTCTAAAACCAGCCGTAAACCGCGTGCCTGACTATCGGGGTCATGTTAAAATCTATCGAGTTTTCCCGCGAACAAATTCATCACATCATTCACCACAGACAACAGTCAATCAGAGCACATCTTTTGACTAACTATTATGTACCTACTTCAAATATCATTGGATGGTCATCATGGAAGTTGATCCATGCACGATAGACATTTCCGAGTTAAAATCTAGTATTTTATACGGCTTTTTTTGGTTTGTGTATTGTGGGCTTACTCTTTAATAACAAACTCATTCGGGGGAGCAGATACTGTGGTCCATAGTGGAGCTAGCTTGCCCAGAAGATGCCTAGCTGTTTCATTCCTTAAAGGCTCTAGGGTTGTATAATTTCCAGAACACAGAGGCTAGCAGGGAATTTTTTAAACTAATGGTCATCTTGACCTTCACTGGTTGGGTTTTTATTGGCTCATGCTGTAAGTAGATCCTGGCTACACAGGAATTGCAGCGGTGGGAACGAGAGAATGGGAATAGTCCCATTCGTCCAATTAATGGTCATCTTTCAATTCCAGGGTGGCGGTGGCGTCGGCGGCAGTATGCGGGTGCCGAACACAGACTCGTGCGTGGAGGTGGGCGAGGCGGACCTGGAGGACGGCGCCAACGGCCTCCAGGTCCGTCGCGGGAGTGAGCCCACGTTACACCAGGACACGTTACCTCCCCAGAGATCGGTGAGCTTTGTTTGTTATTATAAACATCTTATTAGGAGGTCTTTTTAGGGTTCCGTAACCAAATGGCAAAAAACGGAACCCTTATAGATTCGTCATGTCTGTCTGTCTGTCCGTCCGTCCGTCCGTCTGTCCGACCGTATGTCACAGACATTTTTTTCCGAAACTATAAGAGCTATACTGTTGAAACTTGGTAAGTAGATGTATTCTTCTGTGGACCGCATTAAGATTTTGATGCAAAAATAAAAAAAAAATATTGGGGGCTCCCCATACTTATAGTTCATTCAACTTATGATGGTGATTTAGACAGATAAAACGTTTCGTTTTATGATTCTAACTTTCTACGAATAAAAATATTGAGTTGTAAAAATCAATTATTTTTGTGTGTTTTCATCCTTCCAAAATATCAATCACTAATCTTTCTCAATTAACCTAAACAAGAATTTCTAATTATTTATTAGTTTATTATTTAGAAAAAATTGTGAAAAAATATTAAATGAATTGCTTCTGCGTTGGTCGGAACTTTTGCTCATAGGGATGGGACATAAACAATCGTAATAAATCAGTAATCGGCATGGTGGTCATCTTACAATCGAATCACGATTATTATCTCAGGCAGGTCAAAGCTAAGTCAGTACGTGTGCGTTTGCCTTGGATGACGGTTTTGTTTTATGCGATTTCTCCACGTATTGTTTGTTATTGTTATTTTGATGTTTTATTGAATAAAATGCATATATTTAATTCTTTGTGATTTATTTTGTACCACTAAGAATATTCACGTTTATTCCATTTCCAGATAGTTCAAATTCATAGATATAATTTTGATCAAGATTAAAAATCAAACAAATAAATGGCGATTAGATTTCTATAGAAAATATTCTCGATTCTAAAAAATATCGATTAGGTTTATAAGGAGCGCCTCACTAAATAGAACTGTCATAATCACCATCTTACGCTGAATGGACTATAGAACTGAAATTCAATTTTTTTTTTCATCAAACACATACGTGTGGGGTATCTATGGATAGGTCTTCAAAAATGATATCGAGGTTTCTAAAATACTTTTTTTCTAAACCGAATAGTTTGCGTGACAGACGCTTCCAAAGTGTAAAAAAGTTGGTCCCCCCCCCCCTCTAACTTCTAAAATAAGACAATGAAAAATCTAAAAAAATCATGTGATGTACATTACTATAAAAACTACCAACGAAAATTATTTTGAACGAGATCTAGTAAGTAGTTTTTTTTAATACCTCGTAAATCGTAAACCGCTTATTACCGCGTAATCTCTCATACAAATAACTTAAATAAAAAAAAAAATTCATAAATCAATGGTACGGAACCCTTTGTGCGTGAGTCCGACACGCACTTGGCCGGTTTTTCATTTCTTCACTTTCCATTACACTTACATCTTCCGCCTAAGGTTGGTAAGTGCGTACCTCCAGTCGCCAAAGTACTTCAAACATCAGCACAGCAGGTCAAAGTGGCACATCACAACACATTCCTCAGTATGGAATTAAAGCTTAATGTTTTCAAAATCAATTACCTACTTTTTGCGGTAGATATGGTGACCTATCTACACCTGGAAGAGATGGTGACCTCAAAAGACGTTTTGAGTGCACTTCTTTTGTTTTGCAATATTGTAGATGGACTAGGAATTATAATAATTCGACCAAGTCTACTTATAAATAATCATTTTTATCCACGTAGGTGTTTTACGTATGCTGTCTTTGTGTTGTCAACTGAGTATAGTAGTAGTAAGTAGTATCTTGTACCATCATTGAAAACTATATGACCACAATCTAAAGCCGAATGTTACCCTTTCCAGGCGACAGAACAAACCAAGCGCTGGTCAGCCGCCGTGGTCTGCCGCGACGACAGCAGCCGGATCACGCAGAAAGTGCACCCGCTGCCGGACGGCCGGCCGCCGGACGCGGACAGGCACGCGCCGCCCGGACAGCACTTCCAGAGGCAATCCAACCGGCTGTCCATGCAGTTCTCTGGACCTGGGTAAGATAACACTTTGTCTTCTAAACTTTAGACCTGTGTGCTGGAGGCTTACGCCCGTATTCACAAACATTACTATGAGGTCTCACAGTGCGCGTGAACGCACAGGGTGACACACGTGCCAATGACAGAGCTCTATTCAACGCTGTGCGTTCGATTTGCTGCTTCACTTAAGCATGTATCGTTTGTGAATACGGGTGTGATGCTGGTAGCAGACCAAGAGCTAAGTTACTCAATAGCTTAGCTCGCATAGCTGACGCAGTTATTTTTTTTTATTCAGCACATAGCAAGTATTTGATTGCAATTGCACCTGATGTTAAGTGAGATGCAGTCTAGGATGGTACATAGGCTGCCTTGTGAGTGCCTATTATAGGGTGCAGACAGACTGCAAACTATGCAAACATTATGGAAAACAGCGTCAGCTATGTAGGCTAAGCTAAACTAACTTAGCTTAGCTCTTAATCTGCTACCTGAATAATTTGTAAGTATCACTGGCATATAGGTGATGTGACTGCAACAGGTCGTATGGCGTGACGTACATCTTCATACAATTTGACCGTTGTAGCTTTTTTGATAAATTGTGGTAGCAGCACAGGCATCAGACTTCACTCTGAGGTTTTATTATTGGTGTGAATATGTATCACAATCATTCACCTGCATTCACAATCATTCAAAATCATTCAACATATTCACCTGCTTGTAATAATTCCAGGAGTGGCGTATGGTTAGACGCAGCAGAGAGAGTGCAGACTTACGGTAGCAAAAGTCTTCCAAGAGACGCACGGAGAGAACCTTTAGGCCAAGATACACCTCCCAATGATCATCAGAACCATAGGTAATCAATCAGTCATTTTTCATCTAAGCAAAAGAAGTTATACCTAGTTGCATTTAAAGTAACTAGGTATTAGTAGGATTTGTCTATCTTCCATCATACACTAATCTTCCTCACCCTCGATTATATTTACTTAAGTACCTAATACTAATGTATATTACATGTATTTTCCAGGGTAGAAGACATGCTTCGATGGGTGACCGGAGTCAACAACGTAGCGAGCGTGCATCCTGTGCAAGAACGTCCACTTGATCTCTTACCTGAAGGTATGCTTTTAATTTACGTTGATGATCTTATAATTCGTTAGTAGATTTTTATTTAGTAGGTTGATTGATTTTTTGAATTCAGATATCTATTACTTTGTTACTAATTGTGCAGTCAAAAATACATATTTGTTGCAAAAGAGTTCCTGACCCAAGTGTAAACATTAGTGCTTTAAAATGTACTTACAGTAACCTAGGACTAGGAATGTTCTTCAATAGATTTTATATCAATTGAGTCTTTAGTTTAGGGTTCAAAATAATGATGTCACCTAAGTCTAGGCACATACTATCGATTTTTCGTCGGACAGTTGATCAGTATGGGCATGTATGGAAGTGCGCACATTACACCGATTTGATTTGGCCGATTCTTCATACAATTTAAAATCAGGCCTGTCGGCCAACCAATAATCGATGGTCTGCGCCTAGTCTAAGACGCAACAGTGTTGTAGTCTATGGCACATTCAATTTTTAGAAAGAAGATTTAATGCCTTCCCCTAGTAACGATTGATTTATTTTCTTCAGTGGGCAGCAGCGAGCGCGCCATATCAGGCATGGAAGTCCCGGTCAGTCCCAGCAAGCATTCATCAGGCGCCATGCAGACGGTCACAGTCGCGCTGGTCAAAGGCGAGAAGGGGCTCGGCTTCACCATCACCACGCGGGACAACCCCACCGGGGGACACTGTCCCATCTACATCAAGACTATCCTGCCCAAGGTATGTTGGTTTCAGTCCCAGCAAGCATTCATCAGGCGTCATGCAGACGGTCTCAGTCGCGCTGGTCAAGGGAGAGAAGGGGCTCAGCTTCACCATCACCACGCGGGACAACCCCACCGGGGGACACTGTCCCATCTACATCAAGACTATCCTGCCTAAGGTATATTGGCTTTAGTCCCAGCAACATTAGGCGCCACGGAGTCACAGTCGCGCTGGTCAAGGGAGAGAAGGGGCTCGGCTTCACCATCACCACGCGGGACAACCCCACCGGGGGACACTGTCCCATCTACATCAAGACTATCCTGCCTAAGGTATGTGGGCTTCAGTCCCAGCAAGCATTCATCAGGCGCCATGCAGACGGTCTCAGTCGCGCTGATCAAGGGAGAGAAGGGACTCGGCTTCACCATCACCACGCGGGACAACCCCACCGGGGGACACTGTCCCATCTACATCAAGACTATCCTGCCTAAGGTATGTGGGCTTCAGTCCCAGCACTCATCAAGCGCCATGCAGACGGTCTCAGTCGCGCTGGTCAAGGGAGAGAAGGGGCTCGGCTTCACCATTAACACGCGGGACAACCCCACCGGGGGACACTGTCCCATCTACATCAAGACTATCCTACCTAAGGTTAGCTGAACTGGTGCCGAAACCTGTTTTAGTGAATCCTTATGTAGCGTCTTACAGTTACAGGATGAGTGCCGACGATTTGTATGGGATAGTTAGTGTACGAAACCAAACCCAATGATAGTCGTAATAACACTGATTTATTTCACATAACACAATTATTTATAAAATGATAGAATAGCAGAAGTACGAACGTACGTGACGTATAAAAGTGTGCATAATTGCTATTTCTAAGTGACCTAGATTAGGTATGTCGTTGACATTAACATAATATGTGCGGTAACCCGTACATCCTGCCACTCTAAAAGAAGGACAGACAAAAATTATATAAATGTAAAATAAAGTAACAAATTAAGAGTTCAATAATGATAACTAACAATAAAAATGTAAACAATTTCAAATACAAATAACAAGTTTGAATAACTTAAATATTTCATCACTGAACTACGTTAATAGAAGGGATGTCCAGTCGCACAGATCGTGGTCGGGTCCTCGGTGGTGTGGCCGCTGCCTGATCGACGCTGGCGACTGCTGTCATCGGAATTGAATTCGCTTGAGTGCTCGAAGTCTCCATGTTGAGGGCTCCCTTGATTCTTCGCCATCGCATGACCATGAAGATGCACCCCGCGACAATAATGAGGCCCAGTATCGTATAAAGAACTGAGTACTGATGCACGTCGTGTATGCTGAGTGGCGCATTCTCCTGTTCTTTGAGGGTTCGGATTTGAGTCTCCATACTACGCCACTCATTGTCATGATAATCAGGTGTAAACTCGATGCCTGAAGAATTCAATATGGAATTCAGGATCGAAGTTTCTGACAATAATGGTAGGTCCCTCTGGACTTGAACGTGGCTCAAGTAGTTGTTGTGTCCAAGTATGGAGAATGTGTCAGTTTTTACGGTACAACCTTGACCGATTTCTAGAAGGCCGTTCCCGGTTAGTGACTTCATTGTCATTCCACTGTCGGTGCAAAATATGCGTACCGAGCATTTCCCACAACATGAGTATAGCCACCTGTTATCGCTATGTAACTTGATCCATCGCTCGTGACACGGCGCCTCCTTTGCAGTGCAGAGTGTTTTGTTATGAATACTCAAGTTACAAATCGACTGAGTTATTTTTAATTCATATATTGGCTTATCTATAGAGCACAGTAATTTGTTTGTCTGTGCGTGGATACAGCTTTGAACATCTGTTTCTGTTAGAGTGAGAAGTAGATCTCTTTGCAGATTGAATGCGATGTATGGTGTTTGAAATTCTACAATATAGGAGTGCTGAGGAAGACTTATTTGTTTAGCTTGAGATATTTCGTCACAGCCTTCAAGTAGGTCATCCATGTAGAATGACGACATCAGTGCAGCAGCAGCCAAGGGGAACTTATGCGCGTCGTCCAAGGCCAGCTGTTTTAGAGTGCGCATTGCCAGGTAAGGAGCCGCCTTTGTCCCGTAGGTAACAGTTGTAAGCTGATACTCCTTTAGTGGTTCCAACGGTGTGCTCCTCCATATAATGCGTTGTAAATGTTGATCGGGTTCACGAATATTTATTTGGCGAAACATCTTCTCGATATCAGCGGTTATAACGTATTTGTGTTGACGCCATACCAAGATGAGATGCTGTAGATCCTTTTGTAGATTAGGACCGCGCTCCATTAAATCGTTGAGACTGCGCCCGGTTGATGTTTTCGAGGATGCATTGAAGACGGTTCGAAGCTTAGTTGTAGTCGACTCAATTTTCAACACACCGTGATGAGGGAGATAGCACGATGGTTCTTCATTGTGTTTTGTAACTAGAGACATGTGACCTTGTTGTTCATACTCTCTCAAAAATTGTTTGTAACTTTCGCAGAATTCCTTGTTTCTTGACATCTTGCCCTCCATGTTGTGAAACTGAGCGATCGCCTTACTTTTGGATTGACCTAGATCTTGTTCGAATCCAGGCTTCATGGGAATCGCAACTTCATATCTTCCTGTGCTTAAGCGTCTTGTTGTAGACTTATAGACTTGCTCACAGTATTGCTCTTGTTGTGTCAATTCAGTAGCTGAGTCACTGATTCCTTCCAGCTCCCAATATTGGGATATATCTGACAAATTGTTCACTATAACGTGACAATTAAATGTTTTGACGTTGCCAGAGAGTATCCAGCCCATCCTGGTTTGTTGAGCGATAGGAGCCATGTTCGAGCCCTTGATTAGACCGCTCATAATGATGTCAGAGTATACGCTTGCGTCCAGAAGGAGGTCAATTGGTCTGGAGATGTTGTACTCCGGATCAGCCAATTGTATATGTTGTAGATGAGGCCATGACTGTTTATTGAAGGACACGTTGGGCAGATTGTTGATGACATGCTTAATGACTAATGCTTGTGTCGTAAGCTCATAGTCTTCATATATTGATTGGCAGGTGAGTGTGACGACTCCCTTGCCTTGTTTAGATCCATTCCCGATGCCAGATACTGATGCGTGATACCGTTGTCGAGGCAAGCCCAGCATCTGAGCAGCGTTTTCGGAAATGAGTGATATCTGAGAGCCTTGATCCAAGAGAGCTCTCAGGGTGACGTATGTACCATCAGCAGTTTTGACCTTGATTGATATCGTCGTGAGTAGAATCTCTTCATCATTCGTTGCTACGTGATTGACAATATGTTGCTTATTATCTTGATGTGTTGAAATTTGAAGTTTGTTCGTAATTGGAGTTGTAGGCACGGGCGATGACCTAGTTGACTCGGCCGGCCTGTTCGATGACTGTTGCGCAAGGTTCACGTTCGCGTATGCTTCATGTAATGCAGTATTGTGAGGTTTTTTACAAACTTTGCATCTTTTTGGTGACGTGCATTGGCTGTCTTCGTGTGCGTATAGACAGTTCTGACAAAATTCGAGTTTTAGGACGGTCAATAACCTCTCGTCAGGCGACAATTTCATGAACTTGCTGCATCTGTATAGGTAGTGGTTGTTGTTGCATATAGGACAGTTTGTCGAACATGTCGCAATAGCTTGAAATTCTCTGTTTTCAAATTTCTTATAGTGATGACCGCCACCATTTTGAGATTGAGGTTTATGAAATTTCTTGTTCGTTATCATCTTTTGCTGATAATTCTTGTTAGATGATGATGTTTGTCTCTCAGTTGTGCTTATTGGCTCAAGCGCATTGAACTTGCTTTCTAGGAAATTCATAAGTTCAGAGAGTGATGGTAAGTCACGTGGCGATTTGCGTGCCTCCTTGTAATCACTGTATGTCTCAGTGTCCAACTTCTTTGCAATTAGATGAACAAGTAGCGGGTCCCAGGTACTTGTGTCGATACCTAGGTTCTGTATGGCATGAATGCATTCCATGGATGTGTCATACAGACGTCTGATCTCAAATGCCGACTGTTTGTGAGCGGCGGGTTGATTGATGAAGATTTCAATCTGTTTTGTGAACAACAGTTGAGGGTTGTTGTATCTGTGAGTTAGCAGTTCCCATGCCGTCTCATAGTTATCAGCTGAGATGTGTAGATGTTGAATCAGTCGCTCAGCATCTCCTCGCAGTTTACCTTTCAAATGTTGCATCTTTTGCGTGTTGGTAAGGAGGTTGTTGTTATGAATACTTTCCACGTACATGTCGTAGAATGTAGGCCATTGGGTATATTTGCCAGTAAAGGTTGGTATGTCGATTTGTGGTGTCGACTGTTGAAGATGCACAGTTGATGCAAGTTTTAGGTTCAGAGCCTTTTTAATGCCTTTGTATGATTCTTCGTAGGCATAAAACTCGTCGTCATATTGTGTATTTGAACCTTGTAGAATGTTGTCGATTTGGAGGTGCAAAGCGTCGATTGCACTCCAACGTGTTTGAATGTTGCGTAACTCGTCTTCCAATTCCCATTTGTCACGTATCTCGTCAATTCGCAGGCTTCTTACTTGTCGGTGAAAAGCTCTGAAGTTCGTTTGTTGTAGAGATAAAAGTTCGGCGGCCTGACCCTGATCTGAAGATGTCGTCAGCGCTGTCGACGTAGACGGCATCGTGAGTCTTGGCTGTAGCTTAGGTGGTGTCGGCAATGTAACCGTTTCAGGTTGCACGAACTTGGGCAGCGCTGCAGGAGAAATTGATGCAGCGGTTTCACTTGCAGGAGGAAACGACGATATCTTGTTACGCACAGAATCGAAGTATGTTCTTGCTTGTCGGTATTGATCTTCCACGAAGTAAGGATCCTTATCGTTTTCATAACTCGATAACTTGTGGTCATTGCCTTGAAACTCGGCCCATAACTTGTCAAGGGTGTCGAGTCGTTCATCCAAGTACTTACGAGTCTTCCTGATAGCGGAATCCTTGTTAAAGTTGCGTTCTACCTTCTTGATCGCTTCAACAATGTCGTGTTGGCGCTGAAGTAGACTCTCCATGTTTGTGGTTGATCATGTGGTGACACTTCCGAAGATGAAGATTTTTCACACACTGGTTTGTATGTTGATTGATGATACTTTCTCGCAAGTCGGCGTGAAAGTTTGATGCAGTGGTCCGGGATACCTTATGTCCTAGTGAACTAAGTACGACCTTATGCGCCTTCTCAATTAAACCGGGGATTCCCTCTTCCGGGAGGCCAGTCAACCGATTCGCAGTCGTAAAAAATCCACAAAAACACAAAGTACCTTTAGCGTAGGGCCACTGTTGTAAGGATAGAAGTCCCAAGCGTCGATGGAACCTCAATAGTTGTTTGATGATGTAGATCGCAGCATCCCCCGAGCGTCGACGAGAGATGAGGATCACGTTGTTGAGTTGTTTCTCGAAGGACCAAAGAAACTGTAGCGTCTTACAGTTACAGGATGAGTGCCGACGATTTGTATGGGATAGTTAGTGTACGAAACCAAACCCAATGATAGTCGTAATAACACTGATTTATTTCACATAACACAATTATTTATAAAATGATAGAATAGCAGAAGTACGAACGTACGTGACGTATAAAAGTGTGCATAATTGCTATTTCTAAGTGACCTAGATTAGGTATGTCGTTGACATTAACATAATATGTGCGGTAACCCGTACAAGTAGGTTGACTGTAAAGAGACAAAGTTCGTATTCCTTTAGTAGGTTGACAGACATTGATTGCACATTTAAATGTTTATTTTGATTTTTATGAACTGGCGAATAAAGCTTGGTATTGAAAATCGAAATGAAACGAACTGGCCACGACTTCTATGAGTAACTTCTGCTTGTAGCTTCACAAACGTGAATTTGAAGTCTCTACCCTCTACAGATTTTGTTCACATTGTAATGAGATTATGTTTTTTTTGCGCGGATCTCTTCTTTTCTATCTACAATACAAGTAGGTAACCTAAGTTAAGTACTCCCATAAAACTACAACTAGAAAAAAACACCAACAAAATGAAAATAATACTTTTTTTGTTACTAGGCGAAATATCAATTATACACAACAAGTACAAGTTAGTCGTACATCGTAAGTGTATGAAGAAGCAATCTGATATGTTATTTTGATATTACAAGTTAGCTTCATTCATTTGAAAAGACGTTATCATTTTAAGCCCACGTTAAACTCTCAGTCGTTATAACGTCTAAAATTATGCATGTTTATTTTGTGGGAAATATGGAGATTCAATAACACGTCGCGTGCGATACGCTTCGTTGCCGCGAGTTAATATTGTGAGGTTTATTCATATAAGATATTCGAGAATAATACAAGCTGAGGGTAAATTCTAAAGCTGAACAGTGTAGAGTAGAAAAGTCAGAAATCAATCACAATCATAGTAGAGTCGGTTTGCCGACGACGTCACAAAGGTAGTGGGAAAGCGCTGGACGCAGGCCGCTACAAATCGAGTAACATGGAAAGCATTGGGGGAGGCCTATGTTCAGCAGTGGACGTCCTATCACAGAATACATAATAGTAGCAACAGAAATTGCACTCCTTTGTGTAGGATCAGATGCCGACATTTTAACGGTAATAATAATAATGCAAAATACCCAACGCACATGGTGCATTCGAAATCGCACCTTACTACTACGCTCACAAGAGCGCATTTTTTTTGTGTTTAGAATTGATCTACGTCACCGCTCAAGCGTCAGGGTTGTATGAGCAAAGTAAAATAAATAAAAACTTAATTTTAAGAAGCATTTATTGTATTTACGATTAGAAAACTTTAATCTAGTGGAGTTTGTATAATCGTACCATCTCTAAAGTACCTATTAATAAACTTCAGTGTTGCGATAATTCGATATTAAACAAACAGTTTTAAAAGGTGTAGTGTCGGAAAATAGACACGGTGAAGTAAAGTTAATGTTTTTATTAGCTAAAATAATTTTTTTGCTACAGTTTTTTGTCATAAGTATTTCAAAATAATTTATTATTTAAAAAGTGTAGTTTTTTTTTATTATTTAAATCACTACAGTTAATTATGATTCCTAAATATTACAATTTTTCATTAAAGAAGAATAACAGTGCTGTTGGAACAATAAACCTTGATTGAGACTATGATCGACCGAGCGTGTATAGATACGCGTGTGCAAACAGGCGCGTGGCGGCCCGGACTGATTTGCAACTTGAAGTTGTCGCGCGCTGTAGGTAATTATCTCGGCCGGCATAGGCGAGTGACGGAGGCCTGGTCCTATGGCTGAGATGATGATGATGAGTCGGTTTGCAGTTCCAATGTAGCTGTTCATTCGTTTCAGCCAAATGACATCTACTGCTGGACAAAGGCCTTCCCCAAAGATTTTCACAACGATCGGTCCTGCCCTGCCCGAATCTAAGCACTTGCCGCGACCTTCACCAGATCGTTGGTCCATCTAGTGGGAGGTCTGCCCATACTATGTTTTCCGCAACTACATGCTGGCATAACTATATGTATAAAAAGGCTACATTGCATTTTTTTAGGTGGTTTTAACTCCTGAAGTACCTACATAGCAGTGGTAGGGTTAATATTGGGACGTGTAAAAGCGCTTTTTTAAAGCCTATTTGCAAAAAAATAAATGAATTTTATGAATTTTATGTCTTTTAAAAGTCCATGTCATAAATTATGTACTGTGATCTAAAGTTATCAATTTTTAAGTATTACACTTTTAAACAGCGTGTAACTACATATTATTAAGTATGTTGTCGACCCATAGGCGCCATGTCTTGATCACGCTATACTAATTTGCATCAAACCCTTTATCTTCAACATTACCCGTTTAATGAATTTTCCTTTGATACAGGAATCGGTTCGTCACACATTAATGGAGTAAAACGATACTCTTGATCGAGTAAACATCTTTTGATCGACCAGTTTCATCCACAAAAAATATCTTAATAACACCAGGAATTCAAATATTAAAAATACAGACTACAATGTGTTTGTGTAAAAAATTACATGAAATGTTTTGCCAGATTGTACAGCGCCCCTTGTGGTTACTGTCAAAAACTAAAATCGTCGAATTTATTACGCAAACACGAGTAGGTACTAGGTACAATACATTATGTAAACGCATGGTATGAGCCGGTAGACGTCGTGTGGGCAGGCCTCTCACTAGGTGGACCGACGATTTGGTGAAGGTCGCGGGAGGTACCAGGAGCACCGGTATTTGTGGAAATCCTTAGGGAGGCCTTTATCCAGCAGTGGACGTCATTCGGCTGAAACGACCGAACGAACGAAACGCATGGTAAAACTACGTTTGTCAAAGTATACTTGTAAACATTGTGGTGTCTTATGGTGCTATAAATAGGAGCTATATTGCGACAAGTATACATCCTGATGTGTTGACTGTACAAAAATGGGGATGAAATTTTAAATAAAGTCCCTTGAGAGATGACGTCTTCCGCCTTCCTTAATAAAAGGATGAGAAACTCCTCCGATGCTTACAAAATTGGTTCGCTAAGCAACCATTAGGTAGTATTATATGAGAGCCTTTCAAGGGTTTGTAAGCAGTGTATTGGGAATGTTTATGATGCTATGAGAATAACTCGATAAAAAATATTAAGGGAAGGAAAGCAAGCGGATAATCAGTGCCCTAGTTAGAGAGTTCGTTGGTGAAAAATTGTAGAGGCGAGTAATATGGCACATTGGGATGTGTAAATAAAACTTGATTTTGGAAAATACAACTTGTGGTTTTAATGGCTTCCGAATTGCGATACAGGCATAGACAATACAATCATAGACAATGACAGTTCAGAAATGCAAATAGTGATGTCTTTACTTTACATCTCCCTTTCTTTGTAAATAAACAGAAAACATCATGTTGTACCTACTTTACTTACTGCTTACATGTTGACTATGACTCAAGGTTAGGCACAATTTAATACAGCACAACATATTTATGATTATACTAAGATCTAGTTAGTTATTTAAAGATTATTAAATGCCTAGTACATGTATACACATAATACAGGTAATCACTGTAACACTTATGAACATAATATCATAGCAAGATGTATTCAATGCTTGACATGTTAACAAAATCCAACTACAGTATCAAGTACTTAAAATAGGCTCTAATTTATCATATAGACAATAGTATTAATTTAGTATCTTAGAATTAGCTGAACAAGTTATTTTTCAGTTAAGGTAAGTATGTCATGAATGATAGGTAAGTATAACATAATTTAAAATACATTATGGCAAGGCAAACTATTACACATATCAAGTAAGTATTATTCAAAATCAGGTCTTTTGACTGGTTTAATTACATGCTGGGAGTGACTCAGGAACTGCTGGTGGCTGATTTTGTACTGGAACCTGTTGTGCTGCTGGTTCATCTGGGTAGGATATAGTTTCAGGTACTACCACTCTCTTGCTGGTTATGTCTGCTTGAGTCTTATGCAGGTGGCTGAAGTTTCTTCGAAAGATCTGTCCCTGATCTGTTTGAATGATTACTGACCTTGGTAAATCATGAGGTTTTTCTATCACTTTTGCTCCTTCCCAATGTCGATGAGCAACTCTGTGTCTGACTTTATCGTTGACTTCCAATTTTTCTGGTGTTTTAGTATGTTTGTTACTGTAGTTACTTTGTTTCTCTCTCAATCTTTGTAGTTCAGCTGTGACTCCTTGTATTAATTTGGGCTTTAAGTTTTTGTCAATAGTAGGTATTGGAGATCTGGTGATTCTACTGAAAATGCGTTGGTTGGGTGAACCTAATGTCTCATTTCTTGGGGTATTTCTCCAGTTCAGTAGAGCCAGTTGTATATCTGAATTGTCAATACTGCATTTTCTCAGAATATTCTTTGCTGTTTGAACTGCTTTTTCTGCAAGTCCGTTGCCTTGATGGTGATGTGGACTAGACGTGACATGGTTGAATCGCCACTGTTTTTGGAATGTTCTGAATTCAGTGGACACCAACTTGTATACTTTCAGACCAGTCTTTTTTTTCTCCGCTACATAACACTGATATGAATACTTCGTCTTCTGAATTTGAGCTT